CAGCCAAAAAAACCCTATCAAGTCCAAAATGTTCAGTGCCTGTTTTCAGGAACGTAGCTTCACCTGGGAGAGCTCTGGTCCCTGCTGAGGAAGATGATTGTTGTTTTAACAGTGAAATAGGAAACCCTTGGAATAGATGACGTGATAGATAGATAGATAGATAGATAGATAGATAGATTACATAATCTCAGCATCAACACAGCTTGTTGATGCCATTGGTGTTAAAATAATAAAAGCAGAGAGAAATCAAACATGTTGACATAAAATAGTGAGAAAACATTTTTTGACATGATGTGATATGATCATAAAATTGCAAGTGGGAGTGCAGCTCCCTGAATCTTTAAGGGACACTTTCCTTTTGCTCTATTATGTTAGGAATTAGGCTGATTTCTCATAAAAGCCTGGACCTTTCACCCTTCCACTAATGGAGCTCCAGAAGAGAAACTAGGGTAAAAGTTCCAGGGCTGGATCTGCTCCCAGTGGTTTCCCAGAGCTTGAGCCAATAGATAAAAGGAATAAAGGGAAGAGGCTATAGTGCAGGATGAAACATCAAATACAGCCGAGGGAGAAGTCACCTGCTGTCCATCCAGAGCTGAGCTCCAGGTTTCTCTCATATATGTTTAGGGTATTCACCTTGTCTCCTCAATCTCCAGCATTTAACTCACACTTCTTAAAATTCAGTTTCCTTCTATTGTGCTGACTCACAGGCAGACAATAGCTCTACAAGGATGTTTATTTTCAGGGAGTACAAAATAATCTGCAGTTACCTGCTGCAGAATAATGATATATCCTCCAAAAAACTTCTGCTTCAAGTGTTTTGTTTATTATTTTAAAACTACTTTTGTTATGTTTTAGCTTGTTTTAACTACGTTAAAATGAACTCCTGCTCTAAGAGAAAAACTCATTAACAAGCCTACCAGCACATGCACTGAAGCTTTTTCAATCTGAAACGTCATCTTCTAAAAGCAATCCCCAATGTGGGCATCTCTGCCCCAGAATTCCAGTTGTAATTACAGCAGAGCAAGGAGATTTAAAAACCTTGCATGTGCCAGATCCCCAGAGGGGTCCAGGCCTGGTGTCCCTGTCACACAGAGAAAGGCTGAGCTTGGGGCTGCCACTTGCAACCAACCACAGAGGGAGGGTAGTGGAGATGGGGCTGCTCCAAAAAGCCCTGGAAAGAGCTCCACCAACAGATCCCAGCTTATCAGGCAGACAAGAGTCATGATAAGTGCTTTGGAAAACATTTGGGATCTTTAATTGGCTCAGATCCTACAGAGGATCTCAGGATTGTGCCACATCTGTCAGCAGCTTCCCTCTGGGAAAATGGATCAATGACCACACCTACTTTAAGAGCCATTACAAGAGCAATTACTTCATTTGCTTGTTACATTATAAAGTTGGAATGATACCACTTATCTTTATCAATTTTTGGCAGAGCTGATGCAAATGGACTCAGGTCATGGTCAGTGACACACAGCCACAGTCACCACCACAGACAATAGTTGAAATAATGGGGTTATTTCCTATATTTAGAGTTCTTTAAACATATCAAGAGTTTTTTGCGCCTGGAGCACCCATCAAATCCATCTTTGTCCAATTTAGAGTCACTTTAGGGTGAAACACCCCTAGCAGCAGGTGGACAGGAGATCTTTGGAGAACTCTGTGATTTTTTAGTGCTGCTCTCTGACAGCTGCTTTCCTGCAAGCCTGGAGAAACCTGGAGGGCAAAGCATCAAGCTTTGGGATCTGGTCTGGAGTTCTTTTAATGGCTAAAATATGGTCTCTTTTCTCATAGGAAACAATAAACTGGAGCCAACTCAGTGCACACCTGTGTCCACTGGCATGGCTGGGTCTGTGTCACAGCTGGCACAGACAGGGAATGAGGTTCCCTGGGGTGGCAGAGGAGCCATGCAGAGCTGCTGGGCACCCCTGCCTGCCAAATGCATGCCTGGTGCTCTGCCACCTCACAGAGATCATTTATTGGTCACAGAGCCTTGGCAGAGAGTCAGGACATGCATATTCCCAGGGGCTGACAAGAGAATAAATCCACATATTTCAAAGATCTTAGCAAATTAGAACCATCTGCAGCCTTACAGTGCCTTCAGAGCCCGAGCATCGCAGCCTGTGGGTCTGAGTTTCTCACCCTGGCAGGAAACAATGCTTCTTCTGAGCCCAGCTTAGCACCAGAAGGTGTCACTGGCACCAGTGTGGAGCAGACTCTCCTGCAGGACCAGCAGAATGCCCGTGGCTTTTGGGTACCCTCACCCCCAGCCAGCCCACAGGAATAATTTACTCACCAAGTGAGGAAATTATTTTTTTTTACTCACTTTACTCACCTGTCAGATTTGCCCTGGTGATTGACAACATGAGGTGACAACAGGAAAAGGAAAAGCAAAGCAGGTAAGTCCATCCAGCAGAGAAAAACAGGACCCACATTCTGCTGTTTGTCTTTTCTCACTTATTTCTTTTTTTCTAGAACAAAATTAAGCAGACAAATGTCTGTTTCCTGCAGAGTAAGAGAATATAACTCATAAAAAACAACATCAACTTTCATCTAGAGCCTAGGGTGTCTGTACAATGCCTGACATTCCCAGAGAGAGTCTGTAAATTGATTGTTTTAGAGAAAGGAAAAGCAAAGCTTGTGTTTTCCTTCCCAGGGATCAAGTGACCTTCACAGTGTTTTTTGTCACAAGAGCAGATCTTTAATGGAAACAGAAGCAGCAACACTTCGAAAACTGAGAAACGAGTTAACCAAAGGACTGAAATAAAACCTCCCATCCGTGGGACATCGTGACCAAGTCCCCAGACAGGACCATTTCTACTCTTTGTAGAGACAGCCCAGAGCCCGAGAATCATCACATGCTCATGTTCCAGGTTCAAACACCTAATTCAGGCAGAGCAGGAGCAAAGCTGTAGCTTTGGACTTCAACCCTCACTGGAAACTCACTTTCAAACCCTCCCCCTACTATTTTTCTCCACCCCAAGCCATCAGGGCTGCTCCAGCTCCTTCCCAAAGTCAGGCAGCATCTCCCAAGCCATTGTAGCTGCAATGTACAGACCAAAATTCCATAGAATATTTGTAGTGGATTGATTTACAAAATATCTAAAGTGATGAACTCTAGGAAGCGAAAACTCACCAGGTTTGTTATTAATCAAAAGGACAAGCCCAGTTATGAAATCTTAATTATTCTGGGGGTAAGCAAACTCTTTAGGTTTTGCCCTTTTAGCATTATTTTAGCCATGCTACTTGAATTCCTGTGCAATTATAAACCACATTTTGCCAATAGCGGATAGATTCAGGACATTAAGATTTCATTTGACAGCGCAGACTTATTCACAATGGCCAAGCACAGGAGAGGAAAATCCAGAGGCACCCTCAGCTACTGATCTGATTGGGGTAGAAGCAGCCTTTTGCTGGCCTGCCACTCCCTGCAGAGCAGGACTGGGATTTGGATGCTCTCCTGGAGGAGATGAAAAGCTCCTGTGCCAGTCCCAGCAGCAGCCACTTGATGGCCATCCTGCTCTGCAGGAGAGGGACACCGGGGCCAGGGCAGGGCTGGGGACCTGCCAGGGACCCCTGAGCTGAGCAGCCGGGAGCAGAGGGGTCCCCTGACACCCCCGCACCTGGCTGCTGTGAACGACAGGTTTGACATCACCTTAAAAATCACTGGCAAGCCTCTGAGCTAAAGTCAGATGATTTACTATTAAGTGACAAAGCATGACAACTCTACTACTCACAGGAGAGCTGAGGCACAGCAAGGGAAAACAGCCAACAAGAAGATACAGAAGAGGTGGAGGCCTGGAAAGGTGGAGACTCCCCATCCAAGAAAAAGAGGATAAAAGGATCAAAATGTGTTGCAAAGTGACATAAAGAGTGAGAAATCAATAACCAGTAGAGGATAGAATACAAATTAATAAAG